TTACGCAGTCTTCGACAAAGTCGTGGTTTTGACAGTGGGAGGAGGAATGGGCACGGCAGTCGCCGTCGCAGTAGTACCGGAAGAAGTCCGAACGCCGACGACGACGACGACGGCGACGACTGCTACTGCTACTGCTACTGCTACTGCTACTGCTACTGCTACTGCTACCGCTACCGCTACCGCTACTGCTACCGCTACCGCTACCGCTACCGCTACCGCGCTATACCGCTATACCGCTATACCGCTATACCGCTATACCGCTATACCGCTATACCGCTATACCGCTATACCGCTACCGCTACTGCTACCGCTACTGCTACTGCTACTGCTACTGCTACTGCTGCTGCTGCTGCTGCTGCTGCTGCTCCTACTACTACTACTACTACCACCACCACTGCTCCGACATACTACGACCTATTACTACCTACTACGACCTACTATGACCTGCTACGACAACTGTTTCCTACTACTATCTACTACTACCTACTACTACTACTGGTACCTACTACTACAACTACGCGTGTACCCTACTTTACAACCAGAATCTCTTCTTTACAACCAGAATCCCCACTTCACAACCCACAAGCCTTTCCAGAATCCCTAGTTTGCAACCGGTTGCGAACGCTTCTTAACGAGCGTATTAACTGACAACGTCAAAGCCTTTATCCTCCAGCTTCCTCCGTCACAGCAACCATGCAGGTCGGAAAGTCTTGCTGGTTGCAATGTGGGCGCTCTCAAGCCGAATCCGAGACATGCGTATACATATATATATATATATATATATGTGTGTGTGTGTGCCTGTGTATACTATAGTGTATACATATTTATACACACATGTATCATTATCTTGGCTTGAACCCTTATGTATGTCCGTAGACAGGGAAGTACTTCGTATCTTTATCTTGGTTTGTAGCGGGCCGTGTTGTCGTAGACAGGGCATCCTAGGCAATACTTCGTATCTTTATCTTGGCTTTAGCGGGTGTGTAGTGTCGTAGACAGGGCATCCTAAGCAATACATCGTATCTTTAGCTTGGTTTTAGCGGGTGTGCAGTGTCGTAGACAGGGCATCCTAGGCAATACTTCGTATCTTGATCGAGTCGGTATGCATAGTATCGGGGTCTGGATACCCCATGCCCTCGACAGGGTCTGGAGACCCCATAAAAAAACTTTAAGGCTTTAAGGGGTAGGTTTGTTGTAAGACACCGCCCTTCAAAATGGGCTCTTGTCGGGCCTGCTGGGAGCTTTGGAAGGACCAAGCCCGTTTATGAAAGCTCAATAGGCCTTAATCATAGTAAGACATGCAGACATGCAGACAGACATGCAGACAAACATGCAGTCGGGTTGCAAAGTGGGCGTTCTGAGGATCGACAGTTGTAAAGTGGGGATTCTCAGATCGAAAACAGTGTCTATAGTTGTAAAGTAAGGATTCTGGTTGTACAGTGGGATTCTGGATGCAAAGCGGGTTAATCTCCTACCACTACCACCACGACGACGACGACCACGACGACTAGTACTTCGACTGCGACGACGACGACTACCACTACTGCCACGATTACCACTACTACTATTACCGCCACTGCTACCACGACGACGACTACGAAGACCACGACGACTTCGTAACCGACAACTTGCTTCCAAAGCTCGGATAAGCAACAGGCGGGTAAGCGCCAACCTTGGCTGCGCTTAGGGTCAAGATGATTCGGGCAAGGCTCCTCCGCCTGAATCCCGGTGGAAACCTGAACCAATCTCGGAAACCCAGCGACAATCAACCCGCTCAAGCCACAACCACGGCCACGAAGAAACCAACCCTTAGCCTAAAACACAGTTGCCAAGAGCACCCAAGCCACAGACTGGTAAGGAACTGGCATGCCTGTGCGACGCATGTGATCTGGGATCCGGGGCACGTGTACAACGAAGCAAAGGGTTAAGGGCTCAGCGTGACTATGGTTGTACAACTTCGAGTAAGGAGCCAAGGATGTAAACCACCTTCCGACAAAACACCATGCACACCGGCTTCAAAGCTTGCGTCAAGGCTGACTGACCCTCAACCTACATAAGTATGCATAAACATAATGCAGAAACAGAATCCAAAGTTCAAAGTCCCGAGGTGACGCGCATTTCAACTTCGAAGCGAAATCAAGCCTACACCTGAAGGCATAGCTGGAGGACTCACGATTGCTCGTGTCCGTAAAGCCTCTCTACGTTAGGGAGTCTTCGTGTCTTCATGATGCTGGGCTTGTGGACACAATCAGGAAGAGGGCCCTGAAATTCAAGGGAGACTTGAGGCAACGAGCGAAATTGCTGGGGTCATTACGGATTCGGCTCCATGGGCTTCGAGGTCCAAGGGCCTGGTCTTTGCTGTGCAGACCTGAACCTAACGAACTTACAACAACCATTGTCAGATACAAATTTCACAACAAGGGCTACAACAACATCTAGAAGATCCAAGACCCTGCTGTCCACCTTGTTGATGCAAGGGGTCAAAACAACCCACGGTACAAAAGAAAGCAATGGCGTGCGTTCGAGAGTCTTCCCCTGATGGGAGCTCCTGGACTTCCTCCTCTGTCGGCATTCTGTTGAAAAGGCTGCGTAGAATCCCCCATATCCTGGCGTCCTGACATAACCCCTACAGTACTTGGTTTGGAAACACCATCACCAATTAGCCTCGTACGTGTTCTAGGGGCCCTTTGGTCGGGGACTCAGCACGTCGGAGGCTGCCTTCTTAAGCATCCTGGGCAGTGTCAACCGAATGAGACTTGTCTTACATTCCTGAGCACTGCGAGCTTCAACCCTCATTCCCAGACTACAATCCTCGGACCCTATTTCCCGAAACTGCTGAACCCTCCAAATTCCCAAAACACTTAGTTACCCTGAGCCTAGGATCCCTAAAGGCCATGCACCCCCCAGATTCAGCCCGCCTCCTGGCGGAATTGACTGCATTGGCCTCTGAAACTGTCTATAGGAGCTTTTCGGTGTACTTTCGAGTCATTTTAGGGGTCACTGTGGGTAGCCTTGGGGTTAGGTTGGGGGTTTCCTCAAGGCCTCAGGGTCGCTGTGGACTTTGGGTGTCACTTTGAGGTCACTTTGTACCCAGCAACTCACTAGGCTGTCATTGAAATACGAAGCCTGCATCGCATCAGAATTTGGAGCAGGAAGATGAAAAAGCCGACGGCCCTCAACACGAGTGCTAGTGCATTGCTTGATCATACGCTCCTAGCTTTGGGCCTTCTCCCAAGCCTACAGCAAAGGCTTAAGATTCGCACTGAGGCTGAGTTTGGTGCTGCAGCGGGCTTGCCTCGGGGCCCAGTGCCATTATGCAGACTTATGCCCAATCCACCATGCCCTTCCGTTCCCTTGGGCTTCCCAGCACTGTCCGTGCCGGCTGGCTTGTATACATGGCCTCGGCGGGGAGGTGATGGCTTAGGGCTTGACGGACAGGGTTTGGAGTCAGGTACTAAGAGCTTGACATCGCCTCAAGCAATGTGTCCATCCGCTCTGTATCATTATTGGAACGGTCTTCGTGCAAGTGCTTTGGTGGATCCTGCATTCATACTCTTACAAGTCGTTTATGTGCACATATATAATATATACACCGAGGAGCTGCCGCACAACAGCCCTCTGTGTGCGAGGTGACGGCGGCGATGATGAAACATGCTGATGCTGCTGATGATCATCACCATCATGCTAGTCATGGCGTGAGTGGCGGGAGCGTTGGGCTCAAGAGCTAAGAAGGAGCCTGAAACGCAAGCTTTCCAGCAAATCGAACTAGTTTTCTGGAAGATGGGCGAGCATGTAGGTTAGTTAATCAGTGCAAGCGGGAAAGTTGTCCCCGTCTCCTTCCTCATTCCTCTCATGTTCTGCTATATACCGCAGATGAGGTCTAAACAGCTGCAAACATCGTGGTAGGCCCTGCAGCAGCACCAAACCAGTCTTCTTCGTATCAACCACAAACAATACTCGTCAGACCCGGCTCAGTGTTCCCTTTTCCTCGAAATGCAGCTCCAAAATCCTATGCCGGTAAAACCCTGGGGAGGTTTCAGGATTCAAGGTTTGGGATTTCGGGTTCAAGGTTCAGTCCTGGAAGCCCTGCCCTGAACCGTGCCAACGCCGAAATGCGAACGTGTTCGGGGAGCTTTTACAAGCCCGTGTGGAACCCCCACCCTCTTACCTCAATATCCCGGAGCCCTCAAATCGCTGCCTGTGATTATATGCGATGCTCGGACATCGCCTCCCAGGCTGTAAACATCTGTAAACCTTGTCTGAACCCACACACAAGTGCGTAAGTTCTTAACCTTTCCTGCCGCTCGAAAAACCCTAAGCCACATCCGTACTTCCGTCTCAGCGAAAATCTTCCTCTTCCTTCCTACGTCCCAACCTCGGGTCTAGGGTCCAATTGGGAATGTGGAGGGTCGAGTCTTCCAAGCTCCCGGCGCCGGCTCCACAGGGCACTGAGGGCCACCCCCCCGAAACCCCGACTAATGCGGAGCCTCGCTGCGGTTTTGAATGCAGAGTCCATGAACCTAAAGCTCAGATGCGGTCGGCCTCAGGGCTCAGAAACTTTGGGTCGGTCTCACTGTGGCTCCGTGCTAGGCATTTCGTAGAACGTGGCTCTGCTGTTAGATCGCTATGGCACAACTGTCACACCTGGCGTTGGTGCCACCATCTCCACGACAGGCTCACAGCGGAGGAGCCCCACAGAGGCCTGTATGTGCCAAGCTATAAGATTGAAAACAAACACCACGGCTGATTCCAGCCCGCAGTTAGGATTCTGGGCTTTGAGGGTTCTGGATCTAGAAGTTAAGTGCATTCCCGGCACCGCTCTCAAATTCAAGACGCCTTCAGCCCGACCAGGGTCATAAACTGGCTCACCGAACATCGGCGTGCTATGCGCAACAAAACAAACACCCTGAACCTTAACCTAGACTTTCCTAAACCATGAACAATAGACCGTGGACCCCAAAAGCGGCCCGCAGCTGAGCATGGCTGGGAGTGGTCAAGTCCTGCGATGGGGTCCTCGAAGCTGCCATCGACGTCCTCTCAGGCACCCCTCCCACATGTCGGGCTTCAGGCTGGAGCTCCGGGCGGCTTCTCTAGCGGTGAAGGACGTCGAAAATCAGAGTTTAAGTTTAAGTTTTGTCTGAACCCACATGCAGCAGGGTTTGGGGGTTTTACCTGCTACCACCGCACAGGCTGTAAAGGCATAGCATGTTCAGTTTAGTGGGGGTCTTAAGTCCTGTTGCGGGGATGTGGGCTTGACTGTGCTACGGTTTCAAGCAGTGCTTCCGCATTCAGGCCTTGTGCGCAAAGGATCTCAGGATTTGAAGGGCTCTTGGTGTAGGGTCTGGTCGGGTCTAGTGAAGTGTGCATGGTTTCGGCTCTGTGTCCAGCTCGAACACCGGATACACCCCGTACCCAGACAAACGGAGCTCAATGCAGAAAGGCAGAGGTGGCTTCAGGCACCATTTGCAGTACCTTGAATGCCCATGCGAAGTCATCCCTGTTACCGAACCTGGATGTCGAAGGATGCAGGTTCCTGGCCCAGAATTTGTCTGGGTTTAGGACTTTAGAGTTCCGGCGTTTGGGGTGTCTAGAGTTCAAGAGTGCCGGGGTAGGGTTTCGGGCTTCGGGTCAAAGGCGCCGGCACGCTCGCCCTTGGACGAGAGGGCTTATCGAGCATGTTTGCACAAGGCTTCCTGCAAGCACGACATGTGCAGCACTCGCTGGCTATTGTCACGACTTGTCCAAAACGTTGTTGGGTTCCCAGGCATTTAGGATTCCTTTGATCTGCTGTGGAAGGAGTTGCCAGTCAGTGCTCACCCTGTTGGGTTTCCCCGTCTTACACCCATCAGCCTGCCTGTTCACCATGATGATGATGGTGGTGGTCGTGACGATGATGATGATGATGGTGATGATGATGGTGGTCGTGATGCTGATGCTGATGCTGCTGCTGATGCTGATGCTGATGCTGATGCTGATGCTGCTGCTGCTGCTGCTGCTGCTGCTGCTGCTGCTGCTGCTGGACAACGAGAGCCTTCCACATCCCAATCCTCAGAGAATAGCAAACCATGACCCCATTGATGGACGCTACGGTCGACAAGGATTGCAGAGGCGCAGTCTCGTCTGCTCTCTTGCATTCGGACAAACACCACCCTCTTTGTTCGCGCCTTCCTCCTCGATCTTGGCCCTCTCCACAGCCTGTCAGGCAGGGAAGCTCAAGCAACTGTGGCAAGCCCCGGCCCCGGTTTAAGAGCACCCATGACCTGTGATCTTTCCTCAGAAAAGCCTATCTTGGCCGCAGCAACCAACGAGAGTTCGGGATGGCTCCGATCCTTTGGAGCCCCCCGCGCCCATCGCTCGACAACTAGGGTTTAGGGTTTAGGGAGTACCAATGGTCTGTCTGAAGCCGCAACAGTCCGAAAACGGAGGCCAATAAACAAAACACAATTGTGAACCATAGGCCTGGGAGTCCTGACACCTATGCTCCAAAATTACGAACCCGAGAGCTGCCTAAGACTCTACGCATCGCAGTACAGCAGGCCAGAGGCTGATACCTAGAAATCCCAACCTCCCCTCCCCCGAAACAAATACAAAGCCTAAACCCTAACACCTAAACCTTAACACC